CTCTACTAAGCCATCTAGGCTTGGTGAGCATTTTTAGACAGGATGTGTAGTTACCCAATATTGGTCTGAAAGATGTGTTTTCCTGACTCTGGACAAATTGCAGCAAGCTCTCTGTTTGATCTGCAGTCTTCCAAATTTCCCCAGATATCCCCAAGCGGAGGCAGATTATATGCAAAGGCTGTGGCTGAGATTTCGTCTAACACATGGCTTTCTGTCTGGGGAGTGGCTGTGGATTCTTCAGATTCAGTCATCCCCACTATTCTCTGTACTTAGGTTCCAAAAATTGCTGTGGAAACCACACATCTTCAAGCAAGCCCATTTCTTTTTAAACATTTCTGAATCTTTCTCTCTCACACACACATATACACACCCTAGCACTCCACTGCCAGTCTTTATACCTTACATCTGTAGATAATTCCTGCCAGGAACTCTTGCCTGGCAGAACCTCTGTGGGTTAAAAGTGCCTCATCAGACAACGAAAGCCAACCTTGCCGCCACAGCTGAGCATTCCACAAGCAAGCAGGACCATCCAGCTCCAGCCTCTTTTCCTTTGTAATGCATCAGACTTGCAAGCTGTAGTAAGAGCAAATTGGCAGCTGTGTAAGACTGTCTGACGCTGGTAAAAGCATCTGTTGGAAAACTTGCTTTGTAATTTCCTGAGCTTTCAGGGTCAGAAGTGAGTAGAAACCCCCAAATGGAAGAAAAGCCTAATTGCTTTCAAGTGGGAGGAAAATAAGAAACAGACAGGCTTGCAATTGGTGTGGTCTGTAGAGTCTGAACTGCAGGCTCCTGGGATACATGTTTCTAAAGCTCTACTTTCTCAGTAAGCAAGCACCGTCCTTCTCCTGAAATGATTTATTTGGCCCAGACTGGACTCTGCGTGGGTGGGAGTGTTGTTCAAATTTACCCCCAACATTGCTCTATAAGGTGGGAGATAAGCTGGAGGATGGAATGGGGCCCCTAATGCCCTCTCTTGTGTTAGTGTCTTTGGTCATCTTTATTGGTTCTATTCACCGATGTGTTTTCAGCACCTGGAACAGTGCCTTACACATAGTGGGAGCTGGAAAGATTTTTGCTGGATGAAAGAATGAATGCATTTTTGCATCCTAAGTTCTCTCTAGAGTTCCTGTCACTTCATTGACTTCTATAAATAGTTGATGCCTGAAAGTGAGGTAAAAAAGCAAAGGAGGCTTTGATCTCTAAGCAGAACTGGGGAGAAATATAGCCAGGGAAGCTGGGGGAGTGGGAGAGAACCAACATGGCTGTGTGGGGGTGTCTGGGAGGCTGTATGCTTATGGACAGACCCTCAGAAAGTGTCTGAGCTGGGAGACCGGCGTAGGCCAGTTCTCGCACATGCCTTTGAAGTTTACATCTCATTCTGAACTCTGCAGCAAACAGTTTGCATTTGCTTTGCTTCAAGGCCAAGGCCTTTATCCTAGGGTAAAGGGTCCCCCTCTCTCTCCTTCCACTTTTTTAAAAAATATTTTTTATATTGGTACATAACGATGGTACATATTTATGGGATCCTTCCAGTTTGGCTACATCTCTTTTCTTCTCTTTCCTTTCCCTGCAATTCTCCTTAATTGCTAGTTTCAGTCTTGGGGAGTAAGACCTGATTCTGCAGAAGACCTGTTTTCTAACCTCTCTCTTATCAGTTCACATCTTCACAGCTTTCGTGAGTCTGAAGGTGACTAAAGTCAAGACTTTCAGGGGATCAAAACTGTGATTTTCACTCAAAGCTGGAAGCCTTAAAAAAAAAAAAA